GGAGATGTGGGCCGACATAGTCCGTGGAGCCCCCGATGCCAACACTAATTGGCGTAGCCGAGCGGTCTCACCCGGCGAGAGCCCTTCGCTGTTGGTGGTATCCAGCAAGAGCTTGGAGTGTTGACCCGCCCGTTTCCCTATGGCCTCCAGTTTAGAAGCCCACTTCCACCGAGCGGCATTCTCCTGGTCCAACAGCGGTGTGGACGTCGGATCCGAATCAGACTTCTTGAGCAGTTTCCTGGGCGGTTGAGCCGGCTTGTGCAACAGAGCTTTGATGGCATTAGCCCTACGAGCACTAGCGGTCTCGGCACTCAACGCCAAAGTAGTCGGATCGCACTGCCCGAAACCCAGCTGATTTGCAGAGGATTCGAAAAATGCCTTCTCGATCGAAGTAGCTAGACTCCAAAACTGTTCCAGCATAAAACTGTTGCTGAGCAAAACATCACGAACGGTCTCCTCTAGGGATGCTGACCAGTCGTGCACCTTCACGGTGAACTCCGGGCCCGATCGCACCTCCATCGCTGACACCAGCGCCAAGTTGGCATAAGGTGAAGCCAACAGCGCCTGAGCGAAGGCATCAGAGAAAATTGGAAGACACAAAATCTTAGATGTCCAGCGATCAGAACTTTGAGCCATGACTTCCCTGTGAACCCCCACACAACATGAACAGTGCACACATGAGAGTGTCAAGTCGGTTAAGAGAGCAATCATTGCACCTCGAACCTTAACGCCTCAAAAGCATGAACATGCAAACATGTGTGAACTACTGCATGAGGTGGTGTCACAGGCCTGGCGTCAAAGAGCAATTAAAATCAAATGAACGAAATACATCAACTTGTATCATGCATAAATCGTGACCAAAATCATAAATGCAAAAACTTGACAGCTTCATGTGGTCGATCGACCAGACAGAGAAAGATGACTGACCAGAGCTATGGAGATCATACCCCATATCGGAACAGTCGCTCTAACATCACGTCCGGTCTGAGATCCCACAGCCGAGCGAACTGGGGCCCTCGCCTGGGCCAAGTGAAAAATATGGGAGCCGTCCCCATGAACGAGCTGGATGTGATCAAATCCCACCCGTTCACAATTGTGGGGTCTCACAGAGCAAACACCTCAGAAATTAGGTCCCTAGGAAACCCATTGACCCAAGTTAAACCAAACCAAAACGGGGAAAAACCAGGGTGAACAACGGGAAAACAAGAGACCTAAACTGAGGGTGTTTGCACAGCTCTCGCAGCAGCTAATGATTTTTCAGAGCATTCGGCCAGCGATCGTGCTGCGGCCTGATACATTCCGCCACCTTGCAAACTCGGTGAATTTCAAACTTCTTGATCAAGGTCAGGTCTCCGTCACTTCTTCAACGGTCGGAGCCGGTCCAAAACTGACTGGGCGTCCCGGGACCGCCTGATACACCTGATCAAGAAAAGTTTGTGGCGTCACGGCTGCCACTGAGATCCTCTCTTGTTGGCGAGCTTCAAGCGATCGCCTTTGCACATGTACCGAGCCTCCCATGGCTCCCGAGGCTGGGGCTTGACCCGGCTCAGTCATGGAGACTTCGGCTTGAACATTGGGCGCCACAACCAGTGCAGGAGCCGACGGTCCAGCCAATGCTTGTAGAGGGGCCGCAACTGATGATCTTGGCACCACTGATGGCCCACCCGTCACTGGCGGGAGCACGATCGTCTCCTGTTCCAGAGCCACATTGTGCGCCTGCAGAGCCAGTGCATCGGTTGGCACCAACGACTTCGCTGCCCTGAACAAGGGAGACTCACAGGTGAGGTGATAGTTGGCCGGGTGAGAATCCACCACGACCGCACTCACCCTCGGACCCGTGTGATCAACGGACTCTGCTTCGATCGATGCAGTCCAGTGTGCATGGATCCCGGCTAGCTGTGACAATTGCATGGTCTGATCAGGGCCTTCCACCCTTGCATGATGCTCACGACACCAACGAGCATTCTTGATCAAGGTGGGCCCTGACACACGCGACACAACCAGCCAAGTTGATGGAACCACCACCTGAGAACATGCAACGTCCAGCTGATCACCGGATGACCTGAATCGGAACTCTAAGCGGTCTGCATCCATCCCGATCGAGTCCGTGGAAGAGAGCGCAGTGAGCCGGACTTCAAAGTGGCACAAAGGAAAGTCCAGGGCCACGACCGTCCCACCATCACTGCAGGCGTACAGACGCCCTCCCACCTCGAACGAGGTTGCCACCACCCTCCATCCGTGGAACACCGTGACGATGCAGGACGGCACAAAAAGGCAGTCCCTAAGGTTCGCCATGAGAGCATCATTGACGTAGTTCATCTGAACCGTCATGTCAGTGTTCGATCGGTAGCCGCGCAGCTCAAGGTGTAGAAGAAGACCTCCTTCAACCTTGACTTTCACATCGACCCAGGTTGCAGATTCGTCAGTCATCATCGGCCAACGAAAAGGTTGAAAGGCCGGGTGGGCCATGATCTTCCCCGTGTCTGCATCCCAGCGAGCTGCTGGCACCGTCCCGTAAGACGTCATTGATACTACCAAGATGAACTTGAACCCGTCCATCGTCCTCACATAGAACAAGTTGAGGTGGTAGCCCTTGTTTGGCGATCTGACAAGTTGTCGATCGACCAGGACGTTCACCCCAGACTGGGCGTTCAGCAAGATCTCGTCCAGCAGCCATCCCTGGTAGGGGGACTGAATGCGCCGATCGCGGCTATCAATCACAAGCACTGATCGTTCATCTTGGCCAGCACCCAACTGCCTGATGAACGTTGGGAGCTGGAAATTCTGAGCATCAAGGCCAGGCATCTGTCCCCACCTAACTGCACGATGACCACGCCTCTTTGCCTGAGCTTTCTGCTTTGCCAGGCGAGCTGCCTGCTTCTGAGCGCTTCCAAGCAAATCACGTGCTGCCTGAGTAGCTGGAGCAGCAGCACTTTGAGCAGGGGCTTGAGCAGGGTCAGTGAAAAAGAGAGCCGCATCAGCAGGTGGGAAGGGTGCACTTCCGCTTGAGCTTGACACACGACTCTTGGGTTGATCCTGTCCTTGGGCTGCATAGCCAGGAGCCGGCTCACCTTGGTGTCTGAACCCGGGCGGTGGTGCCTTAGGCTCAGGGAACTGCATTGGCACTTCCTGAACAGGCTCCACATTGCGCTGTTCATCCACGACCACACTCCAGGACACCTGTGAGGCACTGTCCTCAGGTGCAAGGTGATCACCTCCAACACTGGCTCGAGCAGCTGCCATGGCTCTCTGACGTTCCAATGGAGCCGGGCTACAAGGAGGAAAAGACATACTTAAGTGATCCAGTCCCAGGCCCTAAAAACAGCGATCCTCTTAGATCGAAAAGAGCTGTGGCCTGACTGTGATCACTCGTTCTTTGTGCCAAAATGGCAAACGACCGCATCGAGTCCTTAGTGATCACATCAGGACACTGCACTTGGTATAAAATAAAAGGAGACTCCATATATATATAATAAACTCGAGAGAGATATTATAATATATATATAGAGCGCAAGGGAAACGATCGAGTTAGAACATGCATCATGAGAGTCAGCTGCTTATCCCAAACCTACCTAACCGTTGATATGCAACACACACATATCTACTGCATATACTGCATATATATATAAATATAAACTGTATATATATATAGAGATATATGTATATATGGTCCAGCGTTCCAACCCCCCTCCCCCCCGCCATGGTCATGGGTCAGCCATAGTACTGTCCCCCTCCCCCCCTGTGGTGTGGTGGGTGTGTGGTACTGTCCCCCTCCCCGCCCTGTGGTGTGGTGGAGGTGTGGTACTGTCCCCCTACCCCCCCTGTCGTGTCATGAGGGTGTGGTACTCTATGGATAATAGGTATGGTATGTAAGTCTGTCGGGTATGGTATGTTTGATATGACAGTATGTATGGTTTGTATTGTATGTATGGTTACTATGATGGGTATGGAATGTTTGCTATGTAAGGTAGGTATGGTATGTATGACATGTATGTTTGGTATTGTATGTGTGGGAGGTGTGGTAAGTATGTTTCATATGTATGGTATGTGTGGTATGCATGATAGGTATGATAGGTATGGTATGTATGGTATGTATGGTATGTATGGTATGTATGGTATCATTGGAATGTATGGTAGGCACGGTATATCTTAAACACATGTAGTGTTGTGAGAGTACACAGGTAGTAAATAGGAAGTAAATACATAGCACATGTATATAGAACTAACTATAGGTAGCACGTAGGTACTTTGAGGGAGTATGTGTGCTAGGTAGGTCGTCTAAAGGGTAGCATGTACCTAGTAAATGCGAGGCTGGTAGTCAGAATCGCTGCAAAAACCTAGATACGAGGAAGGACCTCAGAAATGCTGCCAGCAGCTTGCAAATAGAAGGGAACGGGGTGCTACCTGGGGACCCATACCATTGGGGGGGGTAGGAACATGGAACACGAGACCATATACCGACATTATATTACCCCATACTATTCTATATGGGGGGTTTCCTAAAATGGGGGTACCCCCAAATCATCCGTTTTAACAGGATTTCCCATTATGAACCATCCATTTTGGGGTACCACCATTTATGGAAACCCCCAGCAAATGGCTTATTGGTGCTTAGCAGGGAATGGATGAGAATGGGGGAATGGGATGATTATTGATAGTTAGCCAGTGGATCATTCCCTCATTCCCTGCGTTTAGCACCAGTAAGATAGCTTTGTTGATGAAAATTTGTTGATCATAAAATATATTATACCCCATACAGATCCATACAGCTCCATCATCATACTGTGGATGGGCCAGCGAAATCCTTCACCATCTTGGATGGTTGAAGCCCTAAAAGTAATGGGATACCCTCTGGTTATGTCAAAATAGCTATTGAAAATGGTGATTTTCCATAGCAAACTGTTAGTTTACCAGGCCGGGTAAACCACCGTTTTCAACATACTGGTGCTTTGGATTTCGCTGGCCCATCCACCGTCCGTTACGTTGACGAAACTCCCAACCTTGGAGAAGGTGTCATTCCACAGGTGGTGCTTTCGGACCTCGGACGAAACTCCCGAAAGATCACCTTGTTTCATGGGAATTTTATGGGAACAACATGGATAAATATATAGGATCTTATAGGAAAAACAATGCTGATGATTTTTACAGGAAAAGCAATGATCATAAATCGGATCTTATAGTAGAAAACCATGGAAAACCGATGATCATATGTTTTTGGGATGTTGTACTTGGAAAAGCAATGATACAATGATAGACCATCGGATTAGGCGGTCACATTTGGATACATTTGGATTGAAACCCCTACTGTAGCTGATGCAATGCAAAGCCGAGAGATTTACCTGGACATTGCAAGCTCAGATGATCTCAGTCAATCCATGCAAGAGTGGTACCTATATGATCGAACTATATCAAAATGAAGGGCTTTACAAAGGAAAAGCAAGATAAATAGCAAGCCCCCAAGTTGAGACAGATTTCAGTAGAATCCAGTCCACAAATAGTGATAATGGTTACGTTTGGGCATCTTATCTTTCTTGGGGGTTACTTAATATATCATAGTCATATAATATACACATACTGCATATTCTGTGTAAGTATATGTATATATATAAGCAATTCTAACATACTATAACAATTCATTGATTATAATTCTATAATATGATAATATATTATATGTACATGGCCTTTAGATTCTATAGATCCCACATTATCCCAGCGTATCGAGGCGGCCTCAATGGCATGTCTTGACCTGGGCGCAAGACAAAAGGGGGATTTTAGCAACAAGAAATAACCTGGATTGTCATGGATTGTTGGTATAAATTAGGGATAAGGTTGGTAAATTCACTGGTATAGATTAGGGATACATCACTGATATTTACCATGGGTATTGTGATGGGTATTTTCATGTGGGTAACACTTAAGAAACCAGCCATTTGGGAATGGTTGGAATCCCACCTATTTATGGTGGTGATTTGGGCATTTGGGGGATGGTTTATGACATTGGAAAAACCCAGATTCATGGGGATGTACCATGGGATTTTTTTGTCGATATCGACAGCCACGAATAAGCCCGGCATACCCCGGCTATGGAATGGATGAGGATGGGAGCCTCCCGCCGTGTGCATGGGGCTTTGACATTGCATGGGGCTCTATCCCCACCCGCCTAAAAAAACACTGAATCATCCCAATTGTTGGAATCAGATAGTCTCTGAAAACCACTGGAGTTTCTCGCTTCAACACAACCAAACTAGTCACAAAACTAGTCACCTAGTCACCTAGTCACCTCATGTTACATCTTTCAGATATCTGAACAAACTCCAATGGCCAAAGGGGCCCTGTTTTCCATTGCCAGGCCTCCAGCATCAAATGGGGGGGAAAAAATACCCCAATAGCTGGATGGTTTATTTCATGGAAAAAGCCTCTACTAAAATGGATGATATTAGTAGGGCTACGACTAAAATAAAGGAAGCCTCCTTATTAAGTTACTTACAGTATGAGTGTTATTATTGAAAGACGTGTGAATGATCTCCCAAATTTCAGCCTTGCTGTCTGACAAGTTCTATTCTATCCTCATTCTTGTACCTGGACACATTGTCTGCCTCATAGATTCCACATGGAGGTTTCCTAAAATTCGGGTACCCCCAAATCAATCCAAATCATCCATTTAATATCCATCTTGTGTTGGGATTTTCCATTACAATCCATGAATTTTGGGGTAACCCGCACGGCAATGGGAAAGCTCCGCATGGTCAAGCCCAGCAGATCCCTGGGCGTCGCACTTGAAGCGGTAGCGAGAGTTCCACACGATTGGCAGATCTGCGCTTTCTTCCACCTGCACCGCAACGCAGCGTGGCGCTTTACACTAGCCTCTTGGGGATCTAATGGTTGGGGAAATCATATGAAATCATGGTTCATACATTCTCATAATATATAATGGTGAATCGTGGATAATCAATGATAATCATGGATGCTGAATCGAGTATTGAAGAGGATCTACCCTCCGGTGTCATCAAACATGGCCGGGAAATCGCCATCAAAATGAAGGTTTAGACCTGGGAAAATCAAACGGAGGGATCCCTTCTTTCGGTGATTCAGCCCCCCGAAAAATATCCAGAAATGGCAAAATCGCATGAAAGTTGGACTGCTTATGACCACCAGGTGGCCATCGAACAGGTTAAATGATGGTCACCAGCTGCATCTCTTCCTGACCCTATAGACTATAGCTGGGTGTTATATTTCAACACATCAAAAAAATGAAAACGGTCATCACAACTCAACGCCTCGCCTGAACTCGCTTGAAGTCCAGATCTAAACAGCTCAGTTCCAGTGGAACCAAAGAGCCCTTGATGGTGACCTATCAGGGACCCTCAAAAGACCACAGCTGGAAAGACGGCGAACATCTTCCATCAAACAAGACCTTGTAAAAGAACACCAGTCGCCATTTTCAGAAATCATAGAAGATATTATGAACATATGTTGGATCACACCGTCAGGTGTAGCCATTTATCAATTTATTGTGGATTACGACGTGACCTAATGTGACTACCCTCTGGCAATTTAACATAGCTATTGAAAATGACCATTAATAGTGGATTTTCCCATTAAAAATGGTGATTTTCTATAGCTATGTTAGTTTACCAGAGGGTATCCTCGCCTTGTCAATGATGCGCAACTTGTTTACGATCTCTTTGGAACACAACTCAACGACCTAGGGAGGTGCGGAAATTGAGACTTTTCCGGTCTGAAAAATTGAGGCGATGATTCATTGCATGGCTGGTCAATCTGAAAAATGGGTGCTGAAATTGCCATCGTTTCTGCATGTGAACCATCCAAAATACCTCTAGACTCTAGATATAATCAATACATATCAATAATTACTCAAATTGATATAGATATCTACCTTCCTGAAGCAATTTTGCCTTGGACCTGCTGGCTAGGAGCTGATGTGCTCCCTTTAATCTATTTTCCAAACCGCTCAGAACGGGCAAAAGGAGACCTGATGTGCAAAAAGATCTCTTGGCCCCATGCTGTCTGCGACACCAATATCCTGACACCATACTTCCTGCCGCGCATTGAGACAGCTTGCAATGTCTGGCATGGTGCTGATTTGGACTCCTGAATTTCTTCCTCCACACTCCATAGTCACCGTAGTCCATACATTGGACTCCGTCTTTTGGGTCGCAGACAATCACTTCGCATCATCTCCAGTCTTTCGGCTTCACACCGACACAAGTGACACAGAAGGAGACAACAACCCGACCTCGTTGCATGCTCGATGCTGCTAGCGACACTGACCTTGCCAGGGGAGACCCGCTAGAAAGGTAGGGAAAATATGGGGAAAATGGGGCTGGAAAACTATGGAAGACCAATGGATTTGTGGCTTTTCTACGATTTTCTGATGATTTTCAGATTTTTTTGAGACAAACCTGGGTTTTCCATGTGGCGCAGTGCAACAAAAACGAACAACTTGTGCCATAGGAGCTTTGGTACTTCAAGAGTTTCACAAAGTGATTCAGACTGATGTTTTCGCCATCCCAGAAATATTTGGGGATCATCCCAAATTTCTTTCAATATATATATATATATGATAATTGGCAAAAACGATATAATATAATAGATAAAATAATTAGTAATAATAATAATATCACATAATAATAATTAATAATAATAAAATATTAATAATAAATATCATGCCATGTCGTTTTTTCCATCCCGGGCAGTAACCTATTGCTTCACCCTATGGAAATCACCAGCAGTGTGTCCCGATGGTATCCCCACGTTGGGCGAGATATAGGAGGCGTCGATCTTAAAATCGCTTCCCACGGCGCCCTGGCCAAAATGGGGCCCGTTGTTGGCAAGAAAAACGACACGAAACGACACGAAACCGGGAGATTTTTTGATTCAAACAACAAAAACATCGATCTTTTTCCACGGAAAAAATATCCTTTTCGAACATAGTCATATGGCATGGCTCAGGATGACTTCCCGGAGAAAATATGGGACATGACGGGATGGTTGGGGACGAACGAACTCCCGGAGAAACAGGAAAAAAAAACATGTTTCTAACCTACCCCATCCCAATGCTATCATCCAAGAGCTTTCTGACATGTCATGTCAGTATGCATATATTTGGAACCATTTCATCAAAAATTGAACAACATTAATATACATTAATTATATATTCTATTGCAGTAATTTGGTCAACCAGAAACGATCCCAAATCGGGTTTACTATTGGCTACAGTATACCCCCACTTAGGATGATTTATAGCCCCAAATGGCTGATCATCGGCATGGTTATGTTCCCTTTTGTTGGACCCAATCACATGATTCAATGACCTGAGATGCGTCTGAAAATGATGGGCTGTTCCCCAAAAAATGTCGTGGTGAATCGTCATTTTCCCATCGTTTTCCCTCAAAAACGAGCAGCGTCAAAAAAAAAACAAACGGTTGCGAAGTGGTTCGGCTGCAGTTTGTTTTGGCTGCTCCAATCATGGTTGTTTGGCTGATCACTTTTGAAAAGGTGAGTAGAACCCCGATGCTAACAATAAACATTATATTGTAGTGACAATATATCCTGGTAGTATCCCATGAATCCCTTATCATTTATATCCCATTACTATCCTGCTGATATCCCATTATATTGGTACCCATTAGCATCCTATTCATAAACCTATTAGCATCCCATTAGTAATTCCATTAATATGGGGCCTTCGTAGAATCACCATGGAAATTCCTGAAATTGTTTTCCATGACTTGGATGATTTGGGGGCACCCAAGTTTAGGAAACATCCATATTCATTTCACTATTGTTAATTGGATAATTGGTAACAATACAACAATATATAATATTGATACAATGTATGACAATAAAACGATAATAATAATAATCATGTTAATTACTGGATAAACATTTAATTGTCATTAAATTATAAACATCATTAAACATCATAATTATACTAATTATTTATCAAGTGTCAATTTTCACATTATTGTTGATCATTGTGATTTATTAGATCAATATGGTATTATGACCATTATTGTTGATAATTGTTGACTTAACTAGTGTTAACAATGTAATAGTTATGTCATTTTTGTTGATAATTGATAATTGTCATGGCTGTGATGTTTATAACTAAATCATCACAGCCTATAAAAAGTCACAGCCATGACACACACCTCGCCGCTCGCAGCTCGTCACCACATCCCACATGTCTCAACACCCTCCCACCTCGATGGCCCATCCGCGATGGAGTGCAAAACTCAAGTCCACGCGACCTCAAAAGAAGATGTACCCTCTGGTAAACTAACATAACTATGGAAAATCACCATTTTTAATGGGAAAATCCACTATAACTGGTCATTTTCAATAGCTATGTTAAATTACCAGAGGGTAAACCCTGGGATCAATGGATTGGTTTTGTTGGGAAAATCTTAACCGGAAACCCATGGTTTTGACCATCAAATTGATCGGTCTTTCCTGTAAAAATTCCCATCATTCAATTCTATGATGGGATCTTTGGCTTACCCTCTCCCATAGGATCCATGTATGCCATATATGGTAACATTTACCATCAGTCTACCCCAAATGTTAGCATATATACCAGCACCATGGATCCTATGGGTCTGGTAAACGTTTACAGTTTGCGAACTTGAAAATGGCCATAGAAATAGTAAATTTTATCCATGAAAATGGCATGGTGATTTTCCAGTTCGTTACGTTAGTGAATCCCAGAGGGTAGTTGATGTGACCATCTGGTTATTTAACATAGCTGGCTGGAAAATCCCCGAAATAAATGGAGGTTTATAGCTGGGAAAATCATCTATAAATGGGCCATTTTCCATGGCTATGTTAAATAACCAGAGGGTAGTTGTAAGGTCCCAATATTATCATATATCAATATATATTATCTATGCTCAAATGAAGTCAGATGAATTTCGATTTTTCGATGATCTTGTTGGAAATTGTGGCACCATGATTTATATGGATTGGAATCTGGAAACCTGGTGTGTAGATCCCAAAAGTTGAACTTTTAGATGGCCACTTCAGGCCATGTAAGCCGTGTGAGTCACCCATCTCTTCAAGGTGGTGACTAGCAGAACGGCGCAGAACGGCAACAAAAACGTATCTATATATTTATGCATGGGGGTTCAAAAAAACCAAGGAACGTCACAACTACAACAATCAGAGTTTATGCCATATATATAATATCATATAATGTTTCTTTATCATCTACAGAATTTCTACAGTATGGTTTATAAACCAACATGCATCACCAGTCGTTTTTGAAAACCACAGCAGCACTGTGGCGTCTCGTGGCGTCTCTCAGGCACCCAACACTTGTCTCGAAGTCTCTGTTGTAGGCCAGGATGTTGCCGATAGCCGGCCAAGACGGAGGACCTCAAGGGCCCCTTTTGCGCCATGGTTTCAATGGTGTTTTTCCAGGATCCAACAGATGGAGCTACGTGTTTACGTACCATATTTTTGGCCATACTTTGGGAGTATATCTCCTTACATAGCCCTTATACAAGCCTTATTAATATGGTAGGTAGCTCCAATTTGGGTTCCTGGAATGGCCATGGATGGTTGGAAAAAATGGGTGGGTGAAATGATTTTGGGGTCATTTATGGAGCAAAGGAGCGAGCCATTCTGAACGGGATGAGAATAGGAATATCAGCCATGGATATAATGATGGGATGGGATATATTTATAATATATAATGATATATCACACTTCAAGCAGTGACGTATGGGTTTATCTAGAAGTGATATCTAAATTATGGCATTTCAAGTAGAAAAATGACAACTAGATAATGGGCAGTACCACTCCGCCCTTCGTTTTGCCGTGAAAACAACACAAAGTGTAACGACCATTCACGCATTCTATCATTCTGGGATTGCACAAAATCATGGTCCTACAATTTTTTCCTGGTTAAATCATGTTAAATCCCCACCTTTGCCAACCTTTGCTGGACCAATTAACCATGGATTTTGCTGGTCGAAATCCAGTCAGATTTTTGGTACCCCAAAATCCATGGATGGTTACAGGGCACATCAGGGAACTGTGACGACCGCACCGCGCAACAGCACCAACGATCGAAGAGAAGGCGAGAACAGAAAGATCTGCCATTTTCCTCTCCTGCGAAGGGAAAATGGAACTTCGAAAGTGCAGATTTCTGGCTAAGAAAGTGGCTGCCTGGTTGTTTCAAGCCATTTAAGAAACACATGGCAAAACATGCACAAGTCATTGGGGATCTTCTTTATCATCATGGATCCTCATCCCTTGGAAGACGGACCATTGATGATTTAGCTGTTTTCAGACTGGTGAAACTAACCAGTTCGCAAACTAACCAGAGGGTAACTTACGCACATTCCCAACAAATCACTCTGAACCCTCGCAAGAAAACAGAAAACATGGCGCACACACACACAACGCTTGTTTTCTTTTCGCCGCACGGCCGAAGACGGCCCCCCAATGAAGCCGATGCCTTCAAGCTGCCATCTGGCTGTGTCTGAAAATGGGGGAACATGCTACATCCAAGTTATGGCTAAGAGGGGAACTATGGGGATCTTATGATTAGGGAACCTTTTATCATTCCACTTTTTTGGGAGGAAAAAGATGCAAGTGATAGTAGTTGACTATTGGAACTTGTCTGGTTGTACTTCCGTTTAAGATTATTTAGTCTGGGGATTCATCATTAAGAGCTCATGAAGAGTCGCATTGGCTTACAGTTTCAAAGCATGTTCGACATGTTTTTCAGTTTTCATCCCTAAATTGTGGGATAACTACCATCTGGTTATTTAACAGTTTGCCATGGAAAATCACCATTTTTAATAGGTAAACCATCTATTTCTATGGGCTTATATCATGGCTATGTTAGTCATAACCAGAGGGTACCCTAAACTTTCGTAGCTGAAAACATCCCAAAAAACTCCCCATTCCATTCAATGATTCAGCTCTGCACGGAAAGTTCCAGTTCCATTTGTTTCGTATCCATCCCTATGGTGCAGAAAATCGATACCAATCTTACATCACCACATGGAAATGGTGCTGAAATGCTGCTGAATTCCTGATGCTCAGACAGATTTCCAGCATCCAAGCGTATCAACGATCATTCATGAAATTCATGATCATTTCTGGTTAAAATTCTCCAAGACTTCTTGGATTTTCTGGTGAGCATCCCACCATCCCATTTCTATCCACTGCCTCAGATGGTGACTGCCACCGCCTTGGTTGTGGATGTTGTGACCATAACTTGGAGCTTTGATTTAGTGAATTTAGCGTCATGCTGAAATAGATAGAATATGGAAAATACATGAAAGGCCAAAAAAACAAGTCATGACTAGAATGGGAATATCTTCGAAATCTTTGAAAATTCCATATATTCATCCATATTCTATCTACTTCAGGATGATGATCAACTCAAAACTTCCTTGACATGTTTCCTCATCCCCGATTTTTCTACATCTCCCTGGATGCTTTCTGCTGATCCAGTTTAAGTTGTGGAATGTTCTGGGGATTCGTGGGGGATGTTCAAATGTTCAAAGATGAAGCCATTTGATGCACAAAAAAAAACAAGTTCAACGCTCGAAATCGATGCTGGTGTAAACAGGAAAATGTGCAGAAAATCCATGGGTTTTCTCCCAACCAATGGGAGCAAGACCGGCAAACAAAATCCCTCAAAACCAGTCCAATGATGGATCTGTGTGTGTCCAAAAATGGGGGTACGGTAACCCAAATCATCCAGCTGATTTTCGGATGTTCCATATTTTTCCATTATACACGATCCATTTTGGGGTGCCCCCAGGGTTCCCCTCCATCTGCTTCCGAAATCAGCTACTAGGCCTGCCCCCGCTCAAGCCCTCGGCCCGCGCTTGAGGGGAAACTCCAGCTGTCCTCAACATGGAGAAGATCACAAGCGAAAACTATGGTACCAGGATGTCGACTTAACATACATATATATATATATACACATCCGAACATGGTACTATATTATATATATATATATATCACTATGTATATATATATATATGTTTGTGTGTGTCGGTACTATATACACCCCAACATGATGACTTAACTATACTCAACTCACATCACGCCGCTAAAGGCACATCTTGATCATCTTGTGTGGCGCTGTGAAAAACACTAGGCACATCACGCTGCTAAAGTCACAGCACGGGCATTGTTTTTTGCAATGATTCATCGCGGCTGCCAATGAATTCCGCAAATCGTAGAAAGTAGGTGAAATGAAGAAAACATTGCGCACGCGGGCAGTCAACATGGATTTTTTTCCTTTGAAATCACAAAACATTGCGCGCGCAGCAATAAATCAGTAATGTACCCTGAAAATGTGACAGTGGTATGTGCGCACTGCCTGTGATATATGGTCATGCACAGATGTACGTTCCCTCCGGGTAACCTCATCTAGCTACGGATCCCTATGGTCTACGAAACAGCGGAGATATGCGTTGGCCTTGTGGAGTACGCTCCCAGACAGGTATGTGGAATAAGATTTTTGCATGATATACGGATTTGTTCAAGGCTCCAGCCACCCTTTTTAGCCAGGAACATCCAGAAGAATGAAGAAAAGGTGAGCTGGCGCGCGGGTAAAACTACAAAAACATATGGTTTAGAAAAAACACAAATCAGTGGATATGACTAAAGCTGAGTTTCGTGTGGCGGGCACCAATCAAGATGCGACTTCATCAAGAAGATGCGACTTAAGTCAAGACCCCATATATGATATATGGGATACTATGGGGGTAACTATGGGATACTATGGGCATGTACAGCTCTTTTTGTTCGTTGCACAGGACCGATTTTACTCACCAAAAACATCCAAACGTGGTCATCCGACGCTTAAGTTGCTGTCGCATATCTAGCCTTTGGACACAAATAGTGTCGCACTCCAAATCTGGAAGGGATCTCTATATTATATAAAATAACAAGCAGCAAGAATCAGTGACGCTTGGACTCTAGTGAACCCAAAATTGCTACAAAATCGTTGAACCATGCTGAATCGAACTGGTATCCCCATTGACATTTCCGGTGTTGAAACCAGCTGAAGACAAAAACTAGGCAACTTGTATCTGAGCGGATTCCACCACCAGACACAACCTGTAGAAGGTTGTTACATTGTAGTTACACCTGATCTCGTGTTAGATGAGAAGTGGCAAGATTCGGGAATCGTCTGGCATCCCATCCTAACCTAGCCTCACTGATTTAGCTGGGTCAAAACCATGGTAGCCGTTTCTTATCTTCTGTTCATATCAAAACAGCTGGCAGTTTTGGATGTTCATCGCTCCGAAATAGGAACCACCAACTCATTCAACACTGCGCAGCTGCAGAGCAGCTGTCCTCACCAGCTTCAAATGCCACCCTTTTTCGACGCGCATTGCTCAGCCCTGCAAGCCTGATGGGAAGCAGGAAAGACATAGGAAGAATGCATCAAGGGAGACGGAAGACATGTGTGTGGCTGGAATCTGTGGGGGGAGCCCGGAACTCGCTACTGAACCATCATTTCCAATTTCTGAATTAAAAGTACCATGTTGATCCATTTTAGTCCATTTTATGGGCATCCTCGTTTTCAGACACACCAGTATTACAGTATGTTGTTTTTCCAACACAATTTTCTAAGAATTTCTATATCGGATAATTGCACCGATATCTTTGTTGTTCCAGCAGTTTGCAACTCGCAAACTGAGGTAATGCTTCGAGCAATGGGAATCTTCATGATGCAGTACAGCAACTATCATCCCCCCCGGGCCCTGCCCTGTTTTGGAAATCAAACATACTCCCAACGAAATCATAAGTTTTGTAATATTTTGTTATAACCCATAGGATCCATGTATGCCATATATGGTAACATTTACCATCAATATACCCCAAATGTTAGCATATATACCAGCACCATGGATCCTATGGGTAATTATACATCACAAATTCATAGAAATCCCGGGTTTCATGACTTTCATGGAGTTCCACGATCTTTCAGAACCAACCATCCCCACCACGTCACGTCCTGCTGCGAAACGGTACACGTCCATCTCTGCTTGTCTGCTCAGCTGTCGGGCGGAACCCCGCCAAGGCCTCAGAGTATTGAAAGCCATGGTGAAAAACAGGGATCCCACATGGGTATGGGTCAAAATTAGGTACCCCAAAATTATGGATGGTTAATACTAAACTAGACTAACATCTGTGGTCCCCTAGGTCTTCCATTTTGACCCACATCCACATGACGACTAGAACCCCCTTTTTACGGGTTTTAACATGTTTGGGGGATGAGAAACATTGATGATAACAAATCCCCAAGAGTTTTTGGGGGTGCCCCAGTTTCTGACTGCAAAAGGGTTTTCAGAATCAGGCCTTATGGCTATGATCAAGTGTAGTATCAAAGCAGTGACAGACTGAGCTGTGGTGGATAACAACAACTTTCTACCGCAGGCTCCTTTTAAGCCTCAAAGAAAAGTGCTCAACGCTGCTCCGCAAGCAGGTTATGAGCCCAAACCGTGCCTCTCGTCGCTGAAACATGGCGCATCGACGAGGTAGAAGTGTTCCAGGACACCGAGAAGGGCGTCTTCACTTGAATGGAGGTGAGCCGGTGAACCCTTTTTGGTCCCAAGGAGTACAAGAGGCAGCAATGGTGGACAGGCTGAGACCAGCCAACCTACCGCCCGTCCGGGTAACTCCAGAAAGCCTACCTCCAGTACCAGCAGATGATTGGGATGGAGATGAAACACCAAGACCGGTGCAGGGGCTTCCTCGAGCGATGGGCAGCGGTGGGGGATTGCTGAGAAGTCAAGGCAGAATGCCAGCTGTGGCATTTGAGACACCTAGCAGCTGGGAGCCTCACACTCCAGGACCACAGGGCACTCAGGTGTTCAGGATGGAGGAAGAAGCTTCGAACTTCAATCTCTTTGACTTTGATGAGGACCTGGCGCAGCAATCCTCATGTGCAGGAATTCCTCAAGTAGATCTTCTTGGCCCTCTTGGTGGTGAAGGACATCGAGGGAAAGGTCAAGGGGGAAACGATCATGGAGAACGACAAGGTGATAGACTTCGTTCTCAAGGACCTCCTCTACGGCAAGATCGAGACGGAAGGGAAAGGGAACCTCCTGGACAAAGGCAACGTTCTCTGG